CCGACCTGCCGGAGGCGTATCACCGACTCCAGGCCGAGGTGACCCCCCTTGAGCCGGTCCCGCTAGCAATCCCCCTCAGGCCAGCAGCAGTCCGTGTTCTCGAGGGGCCCATGCATCTAGGCAGTTGAAGAGGTTCAGCATTGTGGGAACCAAAGGAGAGGGAGCTAATTTCCGGTGATGCTCATCGACTGGGGCAACATCTTTTTCAATCCATATCTGGCCATTGCATTTTATTTCATCGCTTCGCTCATTCCGCCGGCCCGTATTGTGCCATCGCAGGCGTTTGCTTGCGCGTTCGTGGCCTCTTGGGGCCTCTTGGTCCGCCTTGGGCAGCACTTGGGCCGTCTGGGGGGCGCTCTTGGGCCGCTCCGGGGCCGTCTTGGGAGCCTCGTGGGCCGTCTTGGAGCAGTCTTGAAGGCCTCTTGGGCCCTCTTGGAGCGTCCGGAAGCGAAAAGGCCAGAACGCAAAAAAACATAGAAAAAACAATGAAAATCAACGATTTTGGCAACTTGGGGCCCTCTTCGGAGGCCTCTTGGAAGGCCCTTGGAGCGTCTTGGAGGCCTCTTGGGCTGTCTTGGGGCCATCTGGGGCGTCTTCGGGCGATCTTTGGCCGTCTCGGGCCTCTCTTGGACCGTCTAGAAAGCTTCTCGGGGCCCTCTTGGACCGATCTGGAGCCCTCTTGGACTCCGAAACAGAACTCCGGCATCTCTGACCCGACCTTGCCGGGACCTTGCCGGGGACTTGCCGGGACCTTGCCGGGGTACTTTTCGTCCGGGGACCCCCAGGGGCCGCCCCGCGCGCGCGAACTAGAAATTCGCCGGCCCAACGGGCCAGGGCGTGCTAAGATCTCCGGTACCTGGTTAACAGTATTTCTAGTTGGCGCGCGCGGGGCGGCCCCTGGGGGTCCCCGGACGAAAAGTACCCCAGCAAGGTCCCGGCAAGTCCCCGGCAAGGTCCCGGCAAGGTCGGGTCAGAGATGCCGGAGTTTTGTTTCGGAGTCCAAGAGGGCTCCAGATCGGTCCAAGAGGGCCCCGAGAAGCTTTCTAGACGGTCCAAGAGAGGCCCGAGACGGACAAAGATCGCCCGAAGACGCCCCAGATGGCCCCAAGACAGCCCAAGAGGCCTCCAAGACGCTCCAAGGGCCTTCCAAGAGGCCTCCGAAGAGGGCCCCAAGTTGCCAAAATCGTTGATTTTCATTGTTTTTTCTATGTTTTTTTGCGTTCTGGCCTTTTCGCTTCCGGACGCTCCAAGAGGGCCCAAGAGGCCTTCAAGACTGCTCCAAGACGGCCCACGAGGCTCCCAAGACGGCCCCGGAGCGGCCCAAGAGCGCCCCCCAGACGGCCCAAGTGCTGCCCAAGGCGGACCAAGAGGCCCCAAGACGGGCCCAAGAGGGGCTCAAGAAGGGAACCGAGAACTGAAAAATCGAGCCCTCCGCCCCAGAAGGCGCCCAGGACCCCGAAAGAGGCCCCAAGAGACTCTCCAAGACACCCCCAAGACGCCCCAATAAGCTCCCGTGAGGCCCCAAGAGGACCAACAACGTCAGGCCCCAGGCCCCAAGAGGACCAACAAATACCGCCAAGAGCCCGCCGAAAGCCCCCCAAGAGACCGTCACGAGAGCTCAGGAGGCCCCCTGGAGGCCTCCCGAGTTCTCCAAGAGGCCTAAAAAGAGGCGCCAAGAGGCCCCAAACGGCCCCACCGAGGCTCCAAGAGGCCACGAACGCGCAAGCAAACGCCTGCGATGGCACAATACGGGCCGGCGGAATGAGCGAAGCGATTAAATACTGTTAACCAGGTACCGGAGATCTTAGCACGCCCTGGCCCGTTGGGCCGGCGAATTTCTGTATTTTCTTGGGTTCCCCTAAGCGGGACATCATCTTCATATACACAAATGTGGTCTATTGTTGTTTCTTTGGCTCACTTTTAACCCCCAGAAGTATAAACCCCTTGCTAGGCGAATGGGCAGACCACCGCTGGCCACGTGACAAGTTCACCACGCCAGGTTTTTGACAGTTTTCGGCCTCCAGGGCCAGCTGGGCCCCAGGGCCGTCAAATAAAGACTCAGGATGAAGCACAGCTCTCCCTGGCATCGCTCGGACGCTTGTATTTTTTCGGCGAGGACCGTCGAGGAGCATCCTGGATCATCGAGCAGCAAGAGACCGCACCACACCGGAACATGCACGGGAAATGGACATCCGAGCGACGGCAAGTCTCTGCGTGAAGGTGTCCAGATCTCGGGTGGTCCACGTTGCGAACAAAAACCATGACGCCGGCGGTTTGGGAGCAAAGGCATGTCGTCGGAGTTCCGCGCGCATTTCTCGGCTCGGCGCCTGGGCTCCCCCGCGGGTTTGTGCAGTTTGTGGTTCCTCTGTTTTCTCGACCCTGCCGACGCGGTGTGTCTTCGGCCTTCTGCCTGCAGATGCCTAGACGGCCAGCGTCTTGAGAAGATCTGAGCGTGTTCTCTTGTTTCTGTTGCTGTTTCTGTTGGTGGCCTCTTGGAGACCTTCTGGTGGCCTCGTGGGGGCGCCTCGGAGGTTCTTGCAGCTGCTTGGGATCACTTTGGGGCGTCGTCGGGCCTCCTGGGGACCTCTGAGGAGCGATCTTCATACCTCCGCAGCCCATCGGAGGCGAGATGGCGAGAAGGCAACAATCCTCGATGTCCCTTGAGTTTCTTCCCCACCATCCTGTGGTGTCAGGTCCTCGTCTTGAAGGGAGAGCGCCCCGCATCACTTCCAGCCCGTCGACTCCTCCGTCCTCCTCCCAGCGCTGCCTCTGCCCTCCGCAACGCACATTTCGGCACACCCCTCGGTCGTTTCATGGTCCCACAGGGAGCTCCACCGAAGACCGCAGTAGGGGGTTTCGCAGGCGGTGCTTAATTACCCGTTTTGGCACAGCCTTCACACGTTTCGTGGGCCCACAAGAAGTTCCACGGAAGCCAGCATGAGTGCCAGTCGCAAGCGGTTCCCCGCCAATTTCGGCCCCTTCTTCACACGATTCGTCCACCGAAGCCCTCAGGGTGGGGGGTCGCATGAGGTGCTTACCCATTTTGGCACACCCCTCAGTTGTGTTATGACCCCACGGGGAGCTCCACGGAAGCCCCACGGAGGTCGGGGTCGCATGCGGTGTTCACCCATGTTGGATCATTTTGGCACACCCTTCACACGTTTCGTGGCCCCACAAGAAGCTCCACCGACACAATCACGAGGGAGGTTTCGCATGCGGTGCTTATTGCGGCGCACCCCTCACACGTTTCGTGGCCCCACAGGGGGCTCCATCGAAGCCGTCAGGTGGGGGGGTCGCATACAGTTCTTCCCAATTTCGACACACCCCTCGCACGCTTCGTGGCCTCACAGGGAGCTCCACCGAAGCCCCCAGGACGGGGGGAAGTCGCATGCGGTGCTTATCCACTTTGGCACACCCCTCGCGCGATTCGTGGCCCCTACAAAGGAGCTCCACCGAACCCGTCATGAAGGGGGGGTTCTCATGCTGCCCCTCGCACGTTTCGTGGCCTCATTGGAAGCTCCACGGAAGGCCCCAGTGCAGCAGCCCGCATGCGTACCCGAGCCCATGGCGGCACACCCGTCACGCGTTCCGTGGTCCCATAGGGGGCTCCACCGAAGGCCCCAGTGGCAGAGTTCGCATGCGCACCCAGGACTGTGTCGACATACCTCTCACACGTGTTGTGGCCTCAATAGGGAGCTCCATTGACGGCGATAGTCGCAAATGCGGTACTCACACTTGCACGTGGTTGGGCCCTTCCCGGGGGGATTTATTTCACAACAGACGGAAATACTTGGTCCCAGGGAGAGGGGGCCTGGACTCAGAGGACCCACGACGACGGAGGTTTGGGTAGTTGCGTCCATGGGCGAATTGCTTCAACGTCTAGACTCCAGGTTCGTGGAGTGCTGACTGTGGTTCGTCCTTCAACGGACGGCGTCATGTGGAGCGTGGGTGGTCAGGTTACCCGGGCACGATGTGAAGAGCACGCGAAGGGCCTGGCTACATGGTTGGCACGTCCTGGAGGCACCCATTTTTGACAGGGCTGTGCTGCCCCTGGCCTCGCTGCCGTCTGCCTTATCCGCTTCTGCGTCTCTCCTTTCTTCCCTGGGGGGGGCGGGGCTCGCTGAAGGAGGGAAGAGGGAGGCGCGGCCTCTCCCCCGGATCCTGGTCCTTCCCTGCCCTGACCCCGCCTCATCCCCTCCCTGCACGCCTGCCTCCTTCCGCACGCCTTCTTCATCCATCTCCGTCCTCGATCCTCTTCCTCACGGCGAGGGTACGGGCCCTGCGAGAAAGGGGCTCCTGAGCTGTCTCGCCGTTTGGGGGCTCTTCGGGACCCGCCCTGGGGCCCTACGAACGTCAACCCATAATTCAGGGGGAACGTCCTTGGGTCCAGGACCCAGTTTCCTCCATCACTTTCGACCCTCATGACAGTAGTTCGTCCTCTCTTCTCCTCATGTCCTTCTTCCTTCCACCCACTCTTCCCCACTCCTTCGCGTGCCCATTCGAACTGTCGCTTACGAGCCAGGTGGAGTGGAGCCAGTTGAAACTCCCTTTGGGCACTCCAGGCTTTCCAGCACATTGGATCTCGAAGGCGCGTCGACCCTTACAGTCAAGACACTGAACCAAGAAACGTGTCACTCTCTGAAGGTGGTTCGACGACCCTTAGGTCCTTCCATAGTTGCTCCTCCAGCTCTCCTCGTGCACCCCGGCAATTTTGGGGGGCCAAACAGGTGCTCCGTCGTTGTTTTAGTTGGTCTTCCTTACGCTCGCAAGTTCTTTTGTAATTCGACCTAGCGGACGAGAAGTGTTCGGGAGGAGATCGCAGCGCCCCACTGGAGAGTGGAGGATTCATCAGCTATTCCTGGTTCGTCGTCGTCGCTGCCGTCGAGGCCACTAGGCCGCAGACGGCGGCCCAGACGAGACACCACTATTTGTTAGGTCGTCCCAGCCGAATTCGTGTCTAAATGTTTCTTCGCATGAGCGGCTTGACCTTTCCTTCCCAGGTCGTCGCATCCGCCCAAGAACTTGGAGCAGAAGGAGATGTTCGGGACGATCAACGTCACAGCGCAGCAGTCGCTGTCCCGCCGCCCCGCAGCATGACACGAGGGTTATGTGCCTATTGAAGCGCAACTGACTTTCATATGTCTCAGGGCCGCTCGAGCTCGACATAGAATCTGCTTGCCAGCGTGGACCCCGAACATGAAGTCGGTGCGCTGTGGATGTGGAAGGATGTAAGCTACCTTATGCAAGGTGTGTGTGTGTAAGCAGTGCTGTGCTAGGTATCTGGTGCAAGCTGTGTTGTGCAAATTATGTGGAGTAAAGTACGTGATGTAACCTATGCGGTGTAAGCTATGTTGTGTAGGCGGTGTTGTGCAGTCAATGTGATGGAAATTTTGTTGGGTCGAGCGGTCGTTCGCTGTCCCTGGGTGCATGGCTGAAGTGGGACTCCGCGATGCGGTTTCTTGTTGTTTGTTTGTTGTTGTTTAGCGTCGTCCCCCCCGCGACCCGGCCCGCGACCCACCCGCGATCCACCCGTGCTTCCGCGATCCACCCGTGCTTCCACCCGCGACCCACCCGTAATCCCACCCGCGACCCGGCCCGCGACCCAGCCCGCGACCCACCCGCAACCGACCCGCGATCCACCCGCGACCCACCCCGCGACCCATCGACATTGCTTGAACGAAAAGCGGCGGGCTTCTTCAGAGCCTCGCAGACTGCCGACGTCCCCGCCGCTCCCTCACTCCTATCCGCTACTGCGGGGTGCTACGTATTCCCGAAACGGTGCTTGCACTTAGGGTTTTTTACTTCTGGTCTAACGAAATGGACCTGGCTGGCGGTCTAGCGGCTATGGTGTCGCCCTGAGGGGGAGAGGGCCCCCCGCCCGGCTCGAACACACCCGTGCATGGACAGGGGGTGGGGCCCTCCCCGGTTCGAACCCCCCTTCCCCCCCTTGCAAGTCAGGGGTAGGAGGGCCCCCCCCCCCAAGTTCGACCCCACCCCACCCCCTTGGACAGGGGTGGGGGGGGCCTCCCTGTTCGAACCCCCGCAGTTTTTTAGTCCCCAAGGGGGGGGGGCGGTTAGGGAGGCCAGTGTCCGGGAGGGGCGGGCCCCACCTTGGTTCTCCAGTGTTGCTTAATGTGTTTTTGTTGGGGGGGGGCGGCCCGCCGGTTCCAACGTGTCTACGAAATGTGTTCTCTCCAACATGAAGGTCCCGCTCGAGACATCCACTGACAATGGAGATGCTGGATTCATTGTGGGAGGCATTTGAGTGGCTTGCGGGGAGTAGGCTCGACGAGGCTTGAACATGAACAACAGGTAATCGAACGGCTCCAGACAGGCCCTCGAAAAGCTCCCAATAGACCCTAGAAAGGCTCGAACAGCTCATCGACCATGTTGGTCTCTTCGTGGCCGTGCCAGGGGTCCTCTTCGAGTCTTCTCGGGCCGCGTCGTGGCAATCCAACTGGGTGCGTTTGCTAGCATGTGGTGTAGCTGCTGGTGGTTGCTGGAATGTGGGTAGGTTTGCTGCGGTCCTTCTGCCGTTGAAATGTAGTTCGTTCGCTGCCACATCTCGAGCTGCGACCCTTCTGTCGTTGAACTGTGTCTACGTTTGCTGCCCGTGGCAGTTGAAATGCTGGTTCATTGCGCAGTTGCACAGTTTCCATACCATGCAATCGACCGTTGCTGCGCAAACTCACGCCGTGCACCCCCCCCCGCCCGTTTCCCCCACAACACGCCCCGCACGCACGTCGTGCCCCTCTCGCCCGTCCCCCCTCCACAACACGCCCGCTCGCACGGCACACACACCCGTCCCGCTCGCCCAGCACACGCCCTACACACGCGCGCACGCACGCACACGGCTGCACAAACAGCCGCACGCACAGGGACACAGGCTCGCGCAGGCACAGAAAGTCGAAAAGCCGCAATGGCGAGCACACGCGCACACAGATATGCATACACGCTCACATACAGCCACACACTGCAGCTGACCAAAGCAACCCCAGGCAACCACTAAGCCCAAGTTAGAAGCGGCAACCATCTGGGCATCTCGGGAATCCCAGCGACTGCACCCCCTGTGCGCACATGTTTGCTGGGTGCAAATCCGTGCGCGCGTGCACACGCAAGCTCAGAGAAGCCGCGCTTCCCGTTTTTGTCCAGATAGGTTCTGTTCAAAATTGCCGTTTCGCTTGAAGAATCCTCGAACCATTTAGAAATTGAAGGAGTTGGTTCAAGATGCCTGATCGTGAAAATTGAAGCTCTCGCTCGAGGCACCCTCAACCAGTGGATAGGTTGAGATCGGTCGCGAAATCGCCAGAATACTCAGAAATTCTAGACGCCTCGCGTATCCCCACCAGCCCGTCCAGAAATGACGCCCAGGCGAGTAGAGGGTCGTCCTGAGGGGCTTTTCGGCGTCTTGGGTGCCTCGGGGGGGCCTCTGTGGGCCGTTCGGGATCCTCTTTGGGGCCTCTTGGGGCCTCTTGGGGCCTCTTGGGGCCATCTTGGGGCCTCTGGGAGCACCTTGGGTGCCTCTGGGGGGGTCTCTTGGGGCCTCTTGGGGGTCTCTTGGGGGCCTCCTGGGGGCCTCTTGGGGGGCCTCTTGGGGTCATCTTGGGGCCATCCTGCGGCCTCTTGGGGCATCCTGGGGGCCTCTTGCGGCCATCGTGGAGGAAATCGATCAAAGAAGAGGGGTTCCTTAATTAGAGTCCCCCCCCCAGGAGCCACGATCCTCGTGAGGGGTGTCGAATTTTAGCCTTCCCAGGGGTCGATCTTGGGCGCTCCAGCGCGCCGCGGAACCCCCTGTCCAGGTCAGTGGGGAGGGGGTAGGGGGAGGGGTAAACCCCCCCCCCGAAGGGGAAGAAGGAGGGGTGGAAGAGGAAACGCTCTAAACCACCGACGCCCAGAGGGCTGGTGTGATTGCATTTTCGCCTAAGACATCCTCCAACAAATGAGATTTCAGAGAGTTGTTTTGAGACGTCTTCTCGTTACATTGAAGCTCTGGCTCGAGACATCTTCGAAACAGTTGGAATGGTTGAATCGCTTGTGAATTTTACGCATTCCTTCCCCCGCGCGACCGCTCCCCGTCCCGCCCCATCTCCTGCACGCCAGACAGTTTTGCCTATCGCTGCCCCCGGTCAGCCCGACGCTGGTGCGGATCGCCTCCGCCTCGCCGCCAACGACAGCACGAGTATATTTGACGCATCTTCGAAACAATGAGGCCCTCGCTGGGAACAGCATCAAGCGGTCGACTTCGGAGGGGGGCCAACACATGTTGTATGTGTTGTTCTCTGACGTCTTACATGACGGGATGGGCCTTTACGGAACGAGAAGGCGATGGGAGTGTCATCAGCATCGTCATCATCATCATCATCATCATCATCATCATCATCATCATCATCATCATCATCGCCACCATCACTATCACAATCAGCAGCAGCAGCACCAGCAGCACTGGCGTCATCGGTATCATCGTCATCGGCACATTACAGTCATTGTCAGTACCGTCGTACATGAACACGCGCACACGACACAATATGGTCACACACGCGCACACACAACGTACGCACACCGTACACGCACCCCCGCCCGCCCGCCAGGCACACCCCGTACACACCCCGCATGCACGCGGTGCACCCCCCCTCCCGCCCCCTTGGCACACACCCTGCATAGACGCGCGCACGCACCCACACACACGCACACAGCCGAAGACAGAATGAGGCACATACACTCGCACACGCGCGGGGCGCAGCGGCTCGAGAGCCAGCTCGTGGGCGCCGCAGCGCCGCGAGCCTGCGTTGCCAGAGACTGGCGCGGTGGACACCCCAGCCCTTACAGTACCGAACGTACCGAAGGCACACGCACACGCGCGCGCACATTCACATGCTCACACAAGTGCACAGACCGCGCGCAGCAGCTGGCCAAAACAACTGCAGGCGACCGCTCAACCGCCCGCCAGGAATACACCCCGTACGCACCCCGTACACGCACACCCGCCCGCCCGCCCTGCACACACCTTACACGCACGCCGTGCACCCCCCCCCGCCCGCCCGCGTCGTGTACATTCCGCATCCACGCTGTACGCACACCCTCGCCCCCTCGGCACACCCTGCATGTGCGCGCACACGCGCGCGCAGACATGCACACAGCGGCGCACACAGGCGCACGCGTATACGCGCGGAGCTCAGCCTCCAGCGAGGCGGCTCGAGAGCCAGTTTGTGGGCGCCGCAGCGCCGCGAGCCTGCGTTGCCAGGGACTGGCGCGGTGAGCATCGCGCCTGTCCCAGCCCTTATAGCACCGAAAGTACACGCACACGCGCACGCACACATGGACACACGTACACGTAGACACGCACATGGACAAACCCACACATGTATACAGAGCATTCGCAACGTTTGACCTCAGCAACCGCAGGCAACCACTAAACACAACCTACCAATGGCAACCATAGGGGAGTCCAGCGACTGCACCCCATTTGCAGACATGCGTGTTTGGTGCTAATCCAAGCGCGCGTGTGTACGCAAGCGAAGACAAGCTGCGCTTTCCGTTTTGGTCCGGAGTTGTTTTCTTTTTAAGGGATACATCTTGCATTTGGGATTCCGCTGGCGGATGACGGGAAATACGCTTAAACGGGCCTGTCTCGAGCGAATCCTGGCGTTTCTTGTGTGTTGGCGGGGTCGCAAGCCCCCGCACAGCATGCATGCAGTTGATAGCGGGACATGTTCCGTTTCTCTTTTTGTTCGCGTCACCGTTAGTCGAAGTTACCCACGCTGGAGGGCCGAGTGTTCGGTGACGGCACGATCACCGTGGAGTTCCATGATCTTGGCTGATGCTGAGGATCGGAGCGAGCCAGTGCACAGCACAAGGAGCTCTCACCGCGCCTGCCGAACCATACGTGCCAGAGGGCGTGTGTGGTTTTGGGGGTTCCTGTATGATGGCCAGGACGCAGTGGCAAAGCTATGCCGATTGGCGGCGCACAGTAACGCGGTGATCCCACCATCATTTCTCCAGCCGATCCATCGTATCCCGACACGAGGATATGTCATGCGGCGGCAGCTCGAGTCGACGTCCTTGCCCTGGCGGGCATAGTGCTCTCCAGTGAGCACCAG